AGTATTTTGAATGGAAGTCAAAATACCACTTTGTTTACATCTCGCTACTTTTATTCTAAATTATTTCACATTTAGCACTATTTTCTGCAGATGATAAGTATCTCAGATGCCATTACTATTTTACTTTAACATTATAAAATAAATGTTGTTCCTTTCTACAGAATAAAAAAATTCTTATGTTAAATGTGCCTTTAAACCAGTCTCTCTCTTCCTAACTAAATTGATTCCATAGATTATAATTTACTTTAATGACGGTAAATACGGCATTCTTATGTATTCTTTTTAACATTTACCAAAGGTTTAAACATTAAAATTATCATTATTTTATCACCAACAATTCCATTCCCTCCATAGCAATTTACAGTTATTCTGGTATTGTCATTACTTTCATATAACAATCGCTTTCAATTTGTTCTTAAAAATTAACTTGTTAACATGGATAAAAAAGAATTATATTATGCAGGAAAACTTAATGGTCATGGCGAAACTATAAAGCTTTGTGACTATCATATCGGTCTGACAGCACGATTGTTAATGTAATTCAATCTGTGAAAATAATTTGATTTCAGATTGAGTTACGTGAGCGAAGTAACATTATCATTTGATGGTGTTTACTTGATTTATTTCAGAAAATAGAAAACCTTTTAGAGACAATAATGTTCCGAGAACAAATGCAATAAATTCAGAAAACAGCACTGTAACAAGACATTAACCTATTTTTTAACCATTAAAGAAGAAATTACATTTTAGAATTAGATGTCTAGCGTGAAAACTGTGTTCTACATTTGATCATTTAAATGAAATGTTCTCAATAAGGATATAGAAAATATTATTTTCAATTGGCATGTTGCCAATATACGAAGGGTGTGCTAATATGAATGCAAATGGATCTATTTTCAGTAGTGCTTAACAAACAGTGTCAAAATTATTATCTCAATCCTTCAAAATTATACAATGTCTAAGTCTTTTAATCCAAGTTTTTCATGCGACTTCATGATATGTACAAGTAATACTGTTCAGACACTGGAAAATAGCCGAAACGAGATTTTTTCGCGTTTGATATTTCTTCGAGCGATGTGTTTTTTGAGCCTCGGAAATAGGCAAAAAGTCACAAGAAGCAACATCTGAAGGATAAGGAGGGTGAAAATGCACGACAACCCTTTCCTGTTTTAGATATTCTCGTATAATGACCGCTTTGTGTGATGTAGCATTGTCTTGTAACGATCTTACACCACGAAGACTAGAACCTTGCCTTTGTAAGACTTGGCATTCATAGATTTATCCTTTGGTACTGCAATTTGAATAGCAGGATCTTGACTGCTAAAAAATAACATACATGACCTTTTTGACGCTCCTTCTGCGTTTTGTTATGCAAGGTCTTTGACCTTCCTTTGGTTGCCCATATTATGTTATGTATCTTTTGCTTGGGCTCATAAAGCTAAAGATCGATTGTTGTATTTAGGGAACTGTTTCAACAATTGTTTGGAGATTTTTACCCGAGCAAGTTATTGAATTAGGGGTAAAGCCTATTTCTATACAAATTCACTCAAGAGTGCTTTGCTACTGGTCAAAACAGTTGTCATTTAGAAGTGACAAAATATGTAAAATAGTATTCAATACTGCTCTAGCATTACATTCTAACAATATTAAGTTTCCGTGGATAAACTTTGTCAAGGACACTCTTGATGATTTTGGACTTTCTGAGTATTTTATAAATTCAATGTTAGTAATTTATTTAACTTCAAAAATGTTGTTTAAACCAAATAAAATGATTTGTTTTTGATTGAATGGTACAACACTGTGGATACATCTCCGAAATGTTTAGTTTATCGTATGTTTAAAAAGGAATGCAAGTTTGAAATATATTTAGACGAACTACCTGTTGATTTTATGAAATATTTTAGCAAATTTAGAACTACAAAACACCATCTCCCTAAAGAAAAGGGTCTCCATCTTGGCATTGAATTTTTTTTAGAAACTGTACTCATTGTAATAAAAACATAAAAGTAGACGAATTTCATTATTTGCTTGAATGTGATACTTTTATAAAAATTAGAACAAAAATGTTGAGGAAATATTATTATTGTCATTCAAATGTCTATAAATTGAATGACCAGTAAAGATCATGTAAAATTAGCTTTACTTTGTAAGAAAATCCTATTAGTTGTTAAAAGAGATTTTTGTTTTATTTATCTTTTTTTAACCAGGTTTTCCGAAGGAAAAAACTGGTTATTAGATTGAGGTATGTCGGCGGGCGGATGGGCGGACGGGTGTGCGGGCGGGCGTAAACAATTTCTTCTGTGCGCAACTCCTCCTACATTTCTCAACGGATTTTGACCAAACTTTCACAGAAGCTTTGTCATCAAGTGCCCTGGCGCATGTTTTCGGGGTTTTGCCATTGGATAATATTTGACCTAATTATGGCCCTTTGTTGTTTTTTTCTTATATAGAATATATAGTGAACAATTTCTTCTGTGCGCAACTCCTCCTACATTTATCAACAGATTTTGACCAAACTTTTACAGAAGCTTTGTCATCAAGTGCCCTGGCACATATTGTCGGGGTTTTGCGATTGGATAATATTTGACCTAATTATGGCCCTATGTTTTTTTTTATATAGAATATATAGTGAACAATTTCTTCTGTGCGCAACTCTTCCTACATTTCTCAACGGATTTTGACCAAACTTTCACAGAAGCTTTGTCATCAAGTGCTCTGGCACATATTGTCCGGGTTTTGCGATTGGATAATATTTGACCTAATTATGGCCCTTTGTTTTTTTTTCCTTATATAGAATATATAGTGAACAATTTCTTCTGTGCGCGACTCCTCTTACATTTTTCAACGGATTTTGACCAAACTTTCTCAGAAGCTTTGTTATCAAGTGCCCTGGCACATATTATCGGGGTTTTGTGATTGGATAATATTTGACGTAATTATGACCCTTTGTTTTTTTTCCTTATATAGAATATATAGTGAACAATTTCTACAGTGCGCAACTTCTCCTACATTTCTCAACAGATTTTGACCAAACTTTCACAGAAGCTTTGTTATCAAGTGCCCTGGCGCATATTGTTCGGGTTTTGCGATTGGATAATATTTGACCTAATTATGGCCCTATGTTTTTTTTCCTTATATAGAATATATAGTGAACAATTTCTACAGTGCGCAACTTCTCCTACATTTCTCAACAGATTTTGACCAAACTTTCACAGAAGCTTTGTTATCAAGTGCCCTGGCGCATATTGTCGGGGTTTTGTGATTTGATAATATTTGACCTAATTATGCCCCTTTGTTTTTTTTTCCTCAATATATAATGATCAAATTCTTCTGTGCTGAACTAGTCCTACATTTCTCAACAGATTTTGTTCAAACTTTCACAGAAGCCATATCATCAAGTGCCCTGGCGCATATTGTAGAGGTTTTGTGATTGGATAATTTTTGACCTAATTACGGCCCTTTGTTTTTTTTTTCCTTATACAGAATATATTTTTTCCTTATACAGAATATATAGTGAACACTTCTGTGGCAATTCCTCCTACATTATTCATGTTTTACATTGCACATAGTTACATTGTTTATTGCTTGTATTTGTATTTCAAATACAACATATTTATCTACAATGGAGATAATTGAAAACCTGGTTTCGTGGCATTGCCATGTTTCTTTTTTATTTTATTTTATTTTTTTTTTTTTTTTTTTTTTTTTTTTTTTTTTTTTTTTTTTTTTTTTTTTTGTAACTTGTCATTCAATTATTTTTGTTTTTCTCTATTTTTGCAATGGTAAAACAACAATTGCATATAGCATTATTCATTATTAATGTTGTAATTGTGTCAATCTTGTTATTGTACTTGTAATTGTTTATAACCTATGGTTGGTGAAGTTATTGTTTTTGTTAGCTTTTTATATTCATGTGTTTTTAATGAATAAAAGAATTGAATTGTTTTGCAAATTACTTTAAAATACATGAAATTGTAACTTGGCAGTTAAGAAATTAAGAAGAGTTTAACTATAAAGCCATAATCAGAAAATGGCAGACAACTATCATCTCGCATTACAGCTACTACTACTATAATCAAAACAACGGATAAACAAAATAGTAACCATATCTTGTGATCATATACTATATGTGTACAGTGTATTGTGAACATATACAATTATCTGCGTACAATGTATTGCGAGCCTTTACAATTGTATGTGTACAATGTCTTGCAAGTCTAGACAATTCATTGTGCATTATGCCTTGCGAGGCTACCGGGTGTTTCATAATATGTGTCCCCATTTCAAATGCTTATAACATTTATATAATTCATTTAGATACACATTCAGTTTTTAAGAATGTTTTACACATGGAACAAAGTTTTACATAATGTATAATTCATAAGGATTTCTTACCTTTGATGTAAATATTCATGCTTTGAACTTTGACAGGATATACTCTAAATGACGTACTTTTTGCTCAATAACGGCGTCTACTCTGTGTAAAAAAATGCGAATCACTGAGGCACAAGTCTCACTACTTATATTTCTGATTTCTCTTGTTATGGCTGCTTTTAGGTCATCAGTGGTTTTACGCGAAGGTTTTTACATGTACACACGGTCTTTAAGATACCCCCAAAGAAAAAAGTCCAGAGGACTCAAATCAGGAGAGTGGGGAGGCCATTCAATGGCATTCTTCAACGAAATGAAGTTTTGGCCGAACGTCTCTTCCAACCATACCAGTACACCTGTGGCTGTATGTGGGTCAGCTCCATCCTGCTGAAACCATATATCGCCTACATTTACAACTTTCTTTCTCAATGCTTGCATAAACTTTCTTTTAATAATATTCAAGTAGCGATCTTCATTTACTGTTTCCTGTCCTCGTAGAAAAATGAACCAATAATTTCATTTGCACTTAACGCGGCCCACACCATAACCTTTTCTGAATGCGGTGTTGTTTTTTTTTTTTTTTTTTTTTTTTTTTCTAAATAAATTCTGGCTTTTCAGAACCGCAGTACCTGCAGTTTTTCTTGTTCACCTGCGAATTAAGATAGAAATGTGCCTCATCTGAGAACCATATCTTGTCAGCAATACCACTGTTGTCGATCATCCATCTTGCAAAGGTCACTCTGCGCTCAATGTCGGTTGGTTTCAAATGCTGCATGATGGATATTGTATAAGGAGTGAGCTTCAAATCATACAGAAGCATTCTATATACACTAGAATGACTGGCAGAGTTAGTAATATCGCCCAGTACTTGTCTTACATACCTTTGTGGTGTTTCATTTATCACTGATTGCACTTGCCCAATATTTTCAGGAATTGTTACAGTTCTAGGACGTCCAGGGTTAGCATGCCTTCTGTCTTCAATCAAACCTGAAGCCTCATCAAATCTTTGTATAATTCTCTGCATGTTTTTCTTATTAAGATCCCTTAGATCAGGGTACCGGTATTTCTTTTTTTTATTGCTCTTATTACAGTGATAGGTGATTTACTTTCATAATAAAGTTTAACAACTTCCTTAACTGCTCTTTGGATGGCGCCATCTTGTTTATACGGATAACAGGAAATGTATATACAAGTCAATTGTATACATTGCTGTGCAATTCAATATGTACCATCTCTGCTATTACAAGCACCTGCTACTTTCGGTTGGGAGCCTTGCAGAAAGTTGACTAGTTTATAAACTGTTATAAAAATTGCGTATAAAATAAGTGTTAATAAAATCTTTCGTATGTCAATAACTTAAAAACCACTCTTCCCTACATGATATTACTAATTGTATTAAAATTTAGATTTATTAGTATGGTACTTTGGTGTCGTTAACGAAAATAATGGCCTCCATCTAAAGTTTGCAAAATCACTAGCCGTATGTTCACAATCTAGTCATAACATTTCCACAAGTTTGAATATTACAATTATTTGATTTCATTCGAAAATATTTATGTTTTGGTGTAAATTGAATTTGTAGAAACAAAACAAATAAATTAAAGGGCCTCCTAGGGCAATTATTACTAAATGAGATACCCCATCGATAGAAATAGCGACAAAACAAGTTTGTAGGTGTTCTGATTAGTATGTTATGCAATGGTTATTTAAAATAATTGTTTAAATCATGTTTTATATAACATTCCAACCACTTATCTTCATAAAAGTCGTAATTAGAGCCTATTTATTGCAAATAACTTATTTGACATTAATTGTTTTTATCTAAATAACCTTTAACAAAAATATTACATAATTGTGTGCTAAAAAATAACTTGGTGTTATTCAAAGAAAACGCATGTTAAAAGTTCCTTGAACTTAGTGAGAGCCCCATTAAAGTCATTAATGAGAAAAGAAATAGATTGCACGACGTCATTCTAATTGAAACAACATTGGAACAGACAATGGCAATAATAATTTATCTCACAACCTGCTTATTTATACAAGCTTTTTATTTCAGCTTTATGATTATATTTAACTCATTTTAGAGATTTTTTAATTAATTAATTGATATTTGTATATTAATAAAGTAAGTAGTATTAGTAAAGTAATACAATAGCGACGACACGATTTAATTCAGGTACCTAAAATGATAACTCCTTCACAAGTTAACGTCCCATGCACGATTTGCACTTGTCAAATCTTTCAACCCATGACTCGAACACGTGTTGTAGCCCGTCACATGACATCTCCCGCAGCTGTCTGTCAACGGTACACCTCGGTTTCTCTCTTGACTCAAATTTCGTACCACGAAAACTGTTTTTTAAAGTTGGAAATAGACAGAAGTCAAATTGCTAGGTCCGGGCTGTAGGGCGAGTGCGGTGACAGATCAACGTCGAGTTTTTTTTAGTGTATCCATGACAACGTGGCTTTAATGACTCGGCGGGTTGTCGTTATGTAATATGAATCCAGACGTAAGTAGATGTGGCCGCAATGAGTTCCGTTCTAAGTAATTTTGCATAAAAGTTCTTAGTGACTGTCGTTTTCGGGGGAACAAAGTGGTTTAACACTACACAGTATGTATAACAGAATATAATGGCCATAAACGTCCCGGCTGTCTTGGAAATTATCGCTTTTGTAGGGGATAGGGAGGAAGGATACTTCCAGACAGAAAATGATGTTTGTTTTTCGGTTAAAAAAAGTGAGCCCACGTTTCATCACATGTTATCTCTCGATTTAGAAAGTAATCTTCTTTTTCACGACATCTCCTATCGTACTGCTGACACATGTTCACCTTTATCCCAATCTGCTCCGATCAAACGAGGCACCCATCTTGCTGAAACTCGGCGCATTCCTAATCTATCATAATGCCCTGAGCTGCACCATATTAAATAGCGAACTTATCTGCTACGTGCTCCACACTTATTCGTGTATCTCAGAGTATGTACTCCTGAATAGTTCTTCATCTGTTACAGTCACTGGTCTTCCTGCACGACTGTCGTCTTCAGTTGCCTGACTGCCGTCTTTAAACCGCTTCATCCACTTTGAAATGGTACGTTTTGACAGAGCTGCCTCTCCGTAAACTTTTTGCAAATCTTCACGAATATCAGAAAAAGACTTTCCGAGTTTTGTGTAAAATTTTATAATAATATAAATAAATGTCATTTACAGTTTATGACGTCATAAGTGGTGACGTCAAAGTTGTATACATAGTAGGATCAATTTGAAATAATCTGTTTTAACAGCATTCAAATTTCATTTTAAACGGACCAGTAGTTTGACGCTATTGAATTAGTTTACGAATTTATTGATGCACCCTGGCATCATACCAACTTTGAGATTAAGTTCACTTAATATCAACTTCAATTTGGTATGTGCGTACAGTATATTTGCTTCATATAAATGAATAGTAAGATTTGTTCCTCCGAAAGTGATCAGATACTTCTTATACTTGTCAAATAAATTATAACAGTCAGGTGAAGATTTTCTGATGTTAAAATAATTGGAAAAACGTCAAACCAACCTTTGTATAAGTTGAGCAATTGCACTTTTCCCGAAATGGGACTCAAAGAGCTTTATAAAACTGTTAAATGATTTTGCTTTCATCACTTCTAGAATTGTGGTCATTGTTGTTGCACCGTTTGGCATTCATTCTGTTCTATCAACATAATAATGTCACATCCGAAAATACCGTGACGCAGAGTAGCAGTATGACGCTTTTAATGGAATGACACGAGAAATGTCACATTGAAAGTTCTATGATAACTGCATTATGAACACAACTGTGGATTTTTCTTAATTCAAATTTTAGTTAAAATGTTGAATTCTACTCCTGCGTGAATGGAAGCTTGTTTAGTACTGTCCGCGAGCAGACTCAATCAAACCAGGCCTTTTTCTATATACTTGGTGTGTTCAGCATTCATAAGAAAGTCCGTTTATCTCTATTTATACAAAATCGTTAAGAATGTCATTAAATGGAAGAATATGACATCAATAATTTTGTTTGTTAGTTGTTGTTGTTTTGTTTTGTTGTTGTTGTTTTTTCTTTTTCCTTTTTCTTTATATATCTTTTTTGTCGAGAAATCATTTATCTGTATATAAGAAAATATATGTAATGAAAATATTCTGGCTTTCTGGCAATTAAACTTCTCGCAAGACTTTCAACAATTATGCTAGACGATCAATTTATTTCGGAGAAACGAGTTGTGGTAAATTATATGGTATGTCATTCTCAAAAGGTCATCGTCTCTCGCTAGGTCGGAGTTAAATAATGGGTATGTTGCCATTTCCCTGGAATAGCACTTAAAAGCATAAAGACACACATGACGATTATTGCCGTGATGATTGAACGTTTTGCATTTATAAGTTTAATCCGCTCCTCTAAAATATAAGAAAAATTAACAAATATCGTGTAAATGTTAATGTCCTTATTTATTTCCTTGAAAATACATCAACAGTTAAAAGTAGTTACCATGTTTGACTGTATAATATATTTAAACGGAAGTCGTGTCAAAAAGATTTATATTGGTGAATTTATCAGGAGAACAAAAATACGATTGGTGTAAATAAAGATATAATAAAAATGAAACGCATATTTTAACATTTATCCATTTTTCGTGCTTAAAGTGTCACATCTTGATATGATTGTAATTCTGTGTACGTGCATGCGTGTATACGTGTGCATGGAATAAACGTTTATTTATAGTCGCCTCCAGAAAACCATATTCATGTCTTATTCCAGTAGATTGAATGTTATATAATAACTCTTGGAACTTGGTTCAACGGATTTTTATTTTTCGTGCACGACGAAACTCACAATTTACTCAAGACTTCGATTTCCATAGTCTCAGCTAGTAAGTGATTTTGATTGTAGTAGCAAAAGATCAACCTCGCGTGCTAGACGGGTAACATTTAATTCATAAGCCGGATGAATTCTTTTAAAGAAATTAACTCTTAAAGATAAAAGTGTTAAAGGGATACTCAGGCAAAAAAATGACAAAAATATTTAAATGATCTTATGTACTCAAATCACGCTAAAATGACATTTTTAAAAGTTCCAGCATGAATTTATGTATAAATGCTGTATATTTTGGGTTTGAGGTAAATATATGAATATGAAATATATGAAGTAATATTTATGTATATTGAATGAAATTTTGAAGCGGACAGTATCACGGAGTAGTTTTAAAACAAGGATTTTTACTTAAACAAACCCAGGAAGTTACAATAATAGATATTGTGGATATTGTATGATTGAAACAAGTAGTCCTAGTCATTCATTTGACACGTTCTTAACGTTCTCAGAGTTAACTGTGACAACTATTGTTTAACTTGACCCATGTTAGGAAACCACCATTTCATTCTTTTTAAGGGGAAAAGTTTTGTTCCTTTGTTCATTTTGAGGACATTTACAGAATAATGAATGAAAACTTGATAACGAAGAAAGGAAAATTTTGCGTGTGTCTCCCGATTGGAATCGGCAAACATTTGCAAATTGTTAATACATGACATCAGTTCATCATAAATATGATATATAGACCTACAGTAGGACTTTAACGGAAAAATTGGTGATTAAGCACAAATAATCATAATTGTATTTTAAAGTGACATTATGGCGATTCAAAATAGTGCACGAGTAAAAGTCAAAATAACTTCATTTTGTCATTGTGTTAAATTTGAAATTTTACTAGGCACAAATATTATTAATCCACTTGACCCACGGAAATTTTTATAAAGCTCATTCGGAATGTATCGCTTATGTCAATTTTTTTTCAAAAACAAAATGCACTCGGACCGTTTTTTATAAATAAGGTATTTTTTCATATCTTATCCTTATTTTTGTCATTATCAAGTATTGATTAATCTTCATCATTTTAGTCAATCTTTCGAAATATATTGCTAACGCAACTCGACAGCGAAAACAAAGAGTTTAAAGCCACTTTAAAACAAATAATATGGCCTAATGCATGGACAAAGTTAGGATTGTTGTTTCCCTGATGGTATTAACTTTCTAAATGAGATATATCGTGCCGACACGAACCTCATAACTTGATTATCGTTTAAGTTTATATCTATGACGTAGGCAAGAACTTTTGTATCCTTATATCTGACTATAGAACTATGTTGAACCAAAATCCTGAAAACCCACATTTTGAAAAGAGTGCAATTTTAGATATATTACAAAGTAGTTTTCGATCATTAAAGAGTGCAAACAAAGCATATATACAGTATTTTCGGCGTTCGAAATAAAACAAGCAAGAACACAAGTTGGTTTGGTTTTCAATATTCCTTTTTCCAAAACACAAAAAACATGTCATTAACAAATACATGATAAAACTAGCTATATAAACCTTATCCACTAAAAGACAAATCATTCTTTGCGTCTAAAAACAAAGCAAATGGAATTAATTCTCAAATTTGGTTGACAATAAAAGCAATAACTTAGCGTCCCTTATTTAGTACGGTTGATATTTCAAGCTAAAAGCAATGCAGCCCCACGTCTACTGTTGAACTTATATGAAAGTACAAAAATTCAGTTTACATGTTGCATTGTCTTTTACCGTGTTTGATGTGTAAAATGGGGGTTTGTCATATTCACGAAGTGCCTATCTGTTGAAATACAAGTGGTTTCAAGGGATAATCTTAAAATATATTTTAACAAATATTGTTATATGGAATGAAAGGATTGCGTGAGACTCATGTCTCCCAACTAAACTACTAGTGTAACATTGTTTCAGTACAAGAATCACAAATATGTCAGTTTGGACACGTGAATGAAATAAAGTAGGCGTGTTTACTGAAAAAAAATGTCTGAAATTCTTTGGAATTATTCATCTCATTCAACAGGACATTTTCATGTGAGATGAGCACGTGCCAATATCATGTCCCGGATGAAATTTCATACTACAACCACTATAAAAATAGAAATTATGATAGCAGCTATTGATAACCCAATGTCTGTAGCAGACGAACTTGAACATTGTTTGTTCAGTAGCCGGACCGAGTCCCGGCGGTAAATGTTGACAGCATCGATGTACAGCGATAGAAGGGAGCTGTCGGTGTTACATTTGTCCTCTATATTGTCGGCTACACAGTCTCGTATCCTGAAAAGAATAAAAAATAATGGTATGAAAATAATTATTCATTTATATCACATATCGAAAAATGGCAGTGCCGTTAATTCATAAACGTTTGTCAAAAATGTTTTGATAATGTACATATGTAATAATTTTTACTGTTTATTATTGCTTTTCATTATTTCATTAAACACATCATTAGGAATATTTTTATTGAAATGTTTGGCTTTCGTTCAGTGCTTTCATTGAGCATTGTAAGATAGGTCACCATAAGTCCATGTTAAGCCGTCTTTTTAGTGATTCATACTGACACCGTGAAGGTCATAGGACGACTTAAAGCTGTGCTGTTGGAAGATTACTGCAAACCTGGATAGCTCCCACACTAGTAATTACCCTCTTTCTAGCATAATATGAATCCACAACAAAGAAGTACAGAAGGGCAAGTGGTTCGAAGTAAGCGAACTTAATTACTCACCACCAGCGAAACATTTGTTTCTTGGTCGGGTTTCACGTTGCACCAATACAGTATAAGTCATATGGTGACTTTCCAACTTTTAATGGTAGTGGAAAAATATATTGTGCCCTCTGTGCATTATTTTAGGACACAAACAGGCACATGAGTAGAACCACCGACCTTCTACATCTGGAAAGCTTCCTCGTGTGAAAAAAAAATCCAAAGTTTCTAATGGGATTCGGACCTACAGCGGCAAGGAGCAAGTGGTTTTAAGTCAAGGACCTTAACTACACGGCCAGGAAAGCCCTACCACCGCCCCATCCCACCCCCAGAAACATATAAGATTTATATAGAAGTCAGTAAATATATATCCTTACAAGTCATTCTCCTATATAATCATACAGAACATAACATGATTATTTATTATACATACTTATGTATTTTAATGTACTAAACATGTCAAAATGTCTTTTTAGATACACGTAGCATTATTTAAAGTCGTTGTTAAAACGTAATATAAAATAATACAACAAGTAGATAGAGGTCTTTCAAATATTGGACAAATCAAGATAACTCGTAAAATGCTTAAATACAACTCTTGTAAGAGTCACTTTCCTTTTTTCAACTGTGCATTATTTCCATTTTTAGGGCATTTGCTATGATCAAATTTTCTCAAGTAATAAATAGAAATCAGTCTTTAATAAGTTTCAAATAAAATGTTTCAATTAGTTTATTGAATGCCTGCTAATTTGTATAAGAGAATAGTAACTAACTAAAATGTCAGAAATTAAAGACAATAACATTAAACTTTAATGAAATTGGAAATTATTTACTATATCATTGAAATAGAGTTAACTTGTCATTTGCCATATTTTCGGATGTTACATGTAGTGACGATAAAAGAACTTAAATCTATTTAATTTGACTGGAGCTTTCTTTAAACTTAATATTCCACCTGCTGTCTGGCATCGGAAAAAAATATGTCGTCCGCATACCATGGCATTTAGCAACTTACCGACAAATCTGTTTGGAACTAGGTAAGTTATCTGCCTCTCTGACACATTGTCTAAACTGATTTGAGGTGGATTTCTCTTCTATGCACCTATACTTGGCAGTGAAATCTAAAATATTTGTCAATTATACAATATAATGACCCATTAGTTAAATGACAATTAAAATAACTTTAAATGTAAAGTTTATTTATTTATACTTTTTGTTTGTTTGTTTGTTTGTTTCATTTTACGCCCTTTCCCAACAGTTTTTCAGTCATATAGGCGGGTAGTTTCCTAACCATCGTTTCTGGAGAGTTACACCAGTACTAGACTACCTTCCTCCGTGCTAAACTACCAAAGCATCTCCCGGGGATCGAACCAACGCCAGAGAGGTAACTGGATTAGAAGTCATCGACTCTAACACCTCGACCACGGAGGCCCAAATCGTGATAAATTTGCAAATTAACAGCACATACATATAATTGTTTCAATACTTTAGTGTTTGAAATTATTTTTTGTACAATATATTTTCATTATTTCAAATGAGTTATGACACATTTACTTTAGTAAATGGGCTAAATTTTATCAGTCTGGTAAATCGACAGTTTTTAATTTATTAAAATAATTTCAAACACAGAATTGGTTAGTGTTTATTAGTGTGCATTTACTATATTGAATTGGTCGGCTGTTCTTGACCAATTTAATTTTGTGAATGCATACTAATACATGTTAAAGCTATCCTTTTTAAAATCTTTCTTTTTTCTGTTTTAGTACATTCTTGAGCATAAAGTCGTAAAAAATACTATCTTATTAAACGACTGATTATTTTTGCATTTATTGATTGAAATTATAGAGTAAATTGTTTAGAATTAGCAGTGCTTAACTGTAAAAAAGCCATCAGTCTCAAATATGACATTATTGTTTCACATTATTACAATCTCAACTTCATTTCATGCATGTTTTAATTAAAATGTTAATTTTTTTTAAATTAAAAAGTCGTAGACGTTTAATTGTCGATTTTTTTTATATTTCATAATTTGGATAGACATACCTTCGTTGTTAATTGTATTGCAATGTTCTTTTGAAAAATCATACAATCCTTTTATATCTTCAGCATCTTCATTTGTAAAGTCGTCACCGTAGCGTTTCGTCAAAGGGGACTGGCATTGACGTAAATTGCTGCGCACGCATCCGATATACCGGAAGTTACTATAACAAAAAAGTTACGTGTATATATTTAACATTTAATCTAAAAATAAAAAGTTACAAGTAACGACAGAAAGTAATACCAACTGGCTTCCCGTGACAATTTATGGGTTTATTTGTAAATTGTCATGCTTCTCTATTCAAACGGAATATTTTCAAGATAAATGAATGTTAATAACATGACTCATGTAAATTTATTTTTAATTGCATGTGCATCTATATATCCACATTCGGGTTTATAGAGGCGCAAATGCATCGAGGTATTTAATCATTTTTCATGTTCTGTTAATAATAAAAATATTAATAAAAATATTAATATATAATGATATTGATAAAAAAAATGTATTTATAAAAAAATGTATTTAGAGAAGGTTTCAAAAAAAATAAACAAACAATTTTTATAGCTTTTTTTTAAGATTGTAAAGTCACGACGACGGAACTGTTACACGAAGGATGAAGCTATTATGATAACCTGTCAGGAGATCTTGTGATTAATGTCACGAGGGAAATACTACAAAACAATTGTCAAAAATGGTTATTTTCATCTTTAAAAAGCGAGTTTTAGGAGCTAAATTAAACTTTATTGATAAAACTCGCCATCGATCTTGTATTATATGTCAAACACTTATTCATAGTCCATTTTTCATGGCCTATTGTTTAAAATCAGGAAGTTTATACATACATTATATATAATGTTTATATACTTCGAACCTTGTTCGTATGAATAAAAAAATGATAAAAGTCTGTAAAATAAAATAAAATTTGAGCCAGACTTACTCTTTATCACAGATGACTTTGTAATTTGGTAGGTTTAACCATGGTGAATTCGAATCTTGGATTGTAAGTCTTTGAGTTCTTTTCACCTTCAAAAGTTCTTGAATACAAATTAAACCTGTTGCACACGCTGAAAAATAAATGTTAAAAAAGTTAATTTGAAAGTCGAATTGAAAAGTGTAACATTTATAAATGACGCTTTTGTTGATATATTGATTTTATGATGGTAGCTATAAAAAAGTTGTTGGTTTTATTTCGTACCTTGCTTAATGAACTTAAATAAAACAAAGGTAAAATAAAACGTTATTTTGTGTCTGTCAACAGTCAAAAAAACCTATTTGCCCGAGGGATGAAACTTTTGACACGTGACTTCGTAAAAGTGACTTGTCAGATTATGTGATCACCCTGTTATTTTTGATGTCATGTAAGGACAGACAATACATGTAGGTCCGTTCTTTTTGCAAATTCATTCAGTGATAACCTCCCTTGTGCACATAAGGCAATACTGAATAATTGAGCAGTCGGAACAGATAACTGTTATTTAGTTATTAAAAATGTGTGAACATATTAAGTACAAATATCACGATTAATAAATAGGTTTTACTAAATAAGGTCTGATAACAAAACGGTATAGCATCAAATATGAGCCGCGTCATGGCAAAACCGAAGTAATGCGTTTGCGACCAGCATGGATCCAGACCAGCCTGCACATCCGCGCAGTCTGATCAGGATCCATGATGTTCGCTTACAAACCCTATTACAAGTAGAGAAACAGATAGCAAACAGCATGGTTCCTGATCAGACTGTGTGGATGCGCAGGCTGGTCTGGATCCATTCTGGTCGCAAACGCACTATGTTGGTTTTGTCGTGACGCGGCGCATATATTATAAGACGTCTGAAGTTGACAATATTGATGTTTAATTTGCACATGGTGAAATATGATATCTAAAGTAACTTATGTTTTGCCATTTGCTGCTAATATCTAGCCGTTGATCATCGTTGCAACTCATGTTCCTTATATATACTATTAATTCCAACATCGTCATCTCCCAATATAACGGTTTAACATGAAATATCCTAATTACTTTTCTATTTCAAGTAAGGATTTGTGAATTACAACTCTAGGTATTATTTGTTTAATTCCCCCACTATTCTGATCACATTTTGCGTTCCTTTTTCTTCTCCTTTCTTCTTTCTTTTCACAGTGCCTGTTTAGCAGCCTATATTGTGCCTTTTCACTGGTCATGTGTGAATGAAAAATGTGTTGGGTTGCAGACCACAAAAGTCGCTACCCATTCACATTATAACGATAAAAGGCTTACTTATATAGCTATAAAACAGAATGTTGTTATTGGGAGAGTTATCACCGCCATGGTTTCGAAATATGTGGATATATTTTTAATGTCAGGTATATCTTCTGCTTAGCCTGCAAGACACCACACCCCATATGCCTGTCTTGCAAGATTTTGCGATTCCCTATTTCGAAAAAATATAACTTAGTTGTTAGAAGATAATTAATCATAAAAAGGAAGCATTTTTAAGTTAAGGTGATAAAAATGTTGAAATTAATTTAGACAACTTACAACACATTTGATCGATACTGCTAAAGTATTGAATGTCTTTGATATGATACGGTCCAAATTCCAACACCTCAACTTCTACTCTGTTCAGAAACGCTGGACATTCCATAAAATGCCGATGAATACATTCAATCAAAGGTTTTGATCGGTTAACACTGCAAGTACACGAACAAAGAAAGCTACGAAAAAAGCTAAGGGAACCTTTTTAGAACAATAGACACTGATGAATGTAACATGTTTCACAATATACCAGTACAAGGCTTGTGACATCACGACATTGCGCAGTAAAAAATGATAAAATATTATGCCAGAAAATGATGATAACAATTTGAAACCTATCATACCCTAATCCTTCTCATTTTACTTAATATGTTTTTTATTGGCATTCTAATACCACAACAAAAATCAAGGAAAGCTTTATGTCTGATTAAATATACTCATTTCATGAAAACAAAAAATAAATCATTCCATTCACCACAATTTTTAATGTTCAGTAGAGATCTTAATTCGAACTAGTACTCACAGATATCATATAGTGACCTAAATACGGACGCCTACTCACTAATATTCAATAGTGACCTAAATTCGAACACTTACTTTATTTTCAGTAGTGACCTAATTTGGAACACTAAACTTATTTTCAAAAGTGGCCTAATTTCAAACACTTACTCACAAATATCATCAATAAAACCGGTTAGATTTTTGATCAAGGACATAATCCATTGCATTCTTGCCCAGTCCCTCAAAACAGGCCTACAAAAAATTGTCTTTTCGTGGGACCATACAATTTGTTGGCTTTTTTCGTCGTAGCCGCAAACAGTGACAGTTTTTGTTTGAAAGTTGTTTCTGTGTGAAGAAAATCATCAAATATCCCTTATTTGAATTGTTGTGTTTGAAGATTTATATTTGAAAATATTCAAACTATGATTCATATCGGATAATCTGCATAATTAACACGAATATTTGCATATATTTCAAACTAAGTGATATAAAGTTTATGATAATTTTATATCTAAAATGTCCACGTTTAGATTAACATCTTTTTTAAACATTTATTTAATTGTACATACACTACATTTCTAGGAATGAAAAATGAAAAATAAAATCACATAATACTGTCACGTGTTACTACTTTTGGCTCAATTATGTTATTTGGAAAGAACATAGGCACGACTTTTATTTAGTATTATGTACTGAATTCACATTTCAAATGTACTGGTAAACAGTATGGATGAAGTTACGACTGTTTTTTACATGTATGAAAGGGATTTGATCAAAAGACCTAAAGCTTTTAATTAATATTCGCATTATACACACACAAGTAAGATAGTATTGGGACTAAAGACTTCAAATGCTAAATACTACTTGTGCTTTTAATGTATCTGTTTATATTTGTATCGAAAAAAACTTTACATGTATAGCTTTAACTGAACTCAGTTTTACGTACATCATAATTATTATGTATATACATCAATACAGCCATGGCGTTGTAATATTTTTTAACATTTTATACATTAAATTTGAATGCATACTGTCTTAAAAAGGTGCTTTTTCGATAATTCTACGGTTGCAACAAGGCGGTTTAACTGGCTTTGATTTGTTTTTGTCCCATTGAAATGATGCTGTGAAGTCAATTCATCAGTGCAAAGCAAACTAGTGCAAGTAGCTCTGTGGTGCTTTCAACTCTAAAAAAATATTAACAAATCAATCATAATTGCATTCAAGCAGTATCAAGCTAACTACAGCAAAATTTTCCTTTCTGTGTTATTGGACATACCTGGATCAGGAACATTATCTGTGGACAATGGTTTCGCTGTCTTTGGCTCAGTTGTTGTTGACGTGGACATGTTTGCATCTGCCTGACCAACTTCAAACTGCGAGTGAGTGTGCTCGAAATCGGTAATGTGACCGTAGCTAGATCCAGCACATACTGTAAGATAGTTATTTAAATTGATTAACATAGCTTTCCTTTTTATCCCTGAAATGGTGTGATTTTTTACTTAGAGCCACGAATGAAAATATCAATTGTTCGAATAAAGGAGGTCTTCTTTTTAAATAGAATTTCATTTAATTAAGACTGGAAAATTTGTTATTTCGGGCGGTTATAGAGTCCGAAGAATGTGGGTTATGTATGAAGTAATAACTGATACATTACAAAAATTACATATGTGACATGAATGTTTATTTACAGAAACACCGACTGAGTGTCAAGATGCGCACGTTTGAACTTAAAGTTATATCTGTAAAAAGATCTATTTCGGCATAAATAGGGTTTATTTTCAGTAATTGTAATGTGAACAATATGCTTAAATACATTAGCATGTGTTTCTTTGGAATTTCGACGAACGAGAAACGTTGACTGTACCTAATCATTATGTTATGCCTATTTGCTTATTTCCGTATTTAATTAAGGAGATTTAGACGTAAATCTTTGTAGAAATATCAAATGTACTTGTATTATGTTAACACTTATAAAGGGATATGGATTTGGCTGAACAGTTACAGTCGTGTAACCATTGGAAGACTTAATTTATGTGTCGTATGTTGACAATGTTTCACTAAGTGTGTGGCCTCTTAAAATGAATGTCAACGGTAATAAAAAAATCATTTTGCCCCTAAACATATGCACAGCGTGAGAATGGATAGATTTATTAGCATAAGAAAAAAAAACCTTTTTCGCATTAAAGCAGCACGCCTCCAGATTTCATGCTTATTTTCATGAAAATTTTGAAAATGTATTTGAATGAATAATATTGTGAAATAACCAAAAAGGAAGCAATTTACACATTATTAATGGCGCACTTATACAACCCACGTTAATTACCAAAAAGTTGTCAAAATATGCATAAATAGCCCTTACTGCGTTAGTAACGCAGTAGAAATATACTTGTAAATACCAAAAACTCAGTCATAAACCGCACATAACATGTAAAATAATACTTGAATCTTGAATCATTTTTACTTTTCCTAAAATCTTAGTACATATTTCTCAAGTTTGATTTTATTAAATTATTTTGACTCATCTGGAGGCATGCAGCTTTAGGGGTATTTGATTGTAACTTAAAGCATTATGAATAAATAATATTCACTTAATGAATAAATATCACAGATTATAAAAATATTAACCATAGGTATGTTTTAAGTTCGATCAAGTATATTGTAATTGATATTTACTTTGCGTAATGCAAAATAGCATTTCTTTTATACATAGCACGTGCCTTAGAATGTCTGTCGTGCGATAACAGATGTATCAGTAATACATCGTGACTTGTTAAGAGTATTTACACGAATATATAGCTGCATTTAACCTTATTTTGAATTAATTTTACATTTACAACTACGCGCTATATATTTTAGCATTATTATTCTTATTCATATTCATATTTATTCTTACTTTACTTGGTTTCATCACGTGCTTTTAATTATGTTACGAAAAGTTGAAATTCGGCCCAGACACATTCTTTTTCGCATACATTTTGTATTTATAATATTGGTGTAATGATAAAAATAGTACATAAGTATATTAGTATGATCATTTATTAACTCATGTTTCATTGACAACCTGTCATAACGATCGCATTTATGTCTATGTACTTTATATGGTGTATGTTTACAAATTGTCAAAATTAGTAACCAGTGTTTACAGGTGTTACAGTTCAAGTTGTCAATGCATGGTAAATAATGATTGATATTTTTTTACGAATCATATAAAAAAGTAAATGTATCCTATTTTTATTATTTATGCTTGTTTGGAAATCTACCAATATATCATTAGATAAAACCTTTGTCATTCGTTCTTAGAATTCTTTGATTATCCCCCGCCGAAAATTTTCGGCGGAGGATATAGTAATAGTCTCCGTCCGTCCGTCCGTCCGTCCGTCCGTCCGACCTTCCGTCCTTCCGTCCGTCCGTCCTTCCGTCCGAAATTTTTGTCCGGAGCATATCTCTAAAAGTATTTGAGTTATCAACTTGAAACTTCATAGGTGGATAGACCTCATTGAGGAGGAGTGCAGTGCACAAGAATGATAACTCTACCTTGCATGATTTTTGAGTTATTGCCCTTTGTTATTTTTCAATATTGATTTTTGTCCAGAGCATAACTCCAAAAGCCTATGAGATATTAACATGAAACTTCATAGGTGCATAGATCTCACTCAGGAGGTGTGCAGTGCACAAGAATGATAACTCTTCCTTTCATAATTTTTGAGTTATTGCCCTTTGTTATTTTTCATACCTAATTTTTCACCTGAGTGGAGCATAACTCAAAAAGTGTTTGAGATATCAACATGAAATGTCATAGAAGGATAGATCTTATTGAGGAGAAATGTTGTGCGCAAGAATGATAACTCTTCCCTATACAATTTTTGAGTTATTGCCCTTTGTTGTTTTTTTCATGCTATTTTGTCCAGAGCTTATCTGAAAAAGTATTTGAGGTATCATCTTGAAACTTCATAGGTGGATGGATCTCATTGAGGAGGAATGCAGTGCTAAAGAATGATAACTCTGCCCTGCATTATTTTTGAGTTATTGCCCTTTGTTATTTTTCAAAATTAATTTTTGTCCAGAGCATAACTCAAAAAGCCTTTGAGATATCAAAATGAAACTTCACAGGTGCATAGATCTCACTCAGGAGGTGTGCACTGCACAAGAATGATAACTGTACCTTTTATAATTTTTGAGTTATTGCCCTTTGTTATTTTTCATACTTAATTTTTCAATTCATTTTTTTCTCAAAAAGTATTTGAGGTATCAACTTGAAACTTCATAGGTGGATAGATTTTACTGAGGAGGGATGCAGCACACAAGGATGATAACCTACCCTGCATTATTTTTCAGTTATTGCCCTTTGTTATTTTCAGCCATCAGTATTCACATAGGTTTCAAATCTGTAATCACTATAGCCATCAGTTTTCATTACCAAAAGACCTCATAAAATGGAATTATTCTGCTCTACTACATATACATTCTTCCAATGAGCAAACACATTCGGCGGGGGATGGCCATGTTGACATGGCTCTTGTTTAATTTTATTTTTTACTTTTATGTAACACTTTTTTAGATTTTAATCTCTTAGACTAGTATTTTTTCCTATATAGTTGCTTTACAACCATTCAGCTATGTTTATCTTGACTGATTGGTAGTTAAGAGAGTACTATCATCAATTTTTTTTTCCATTTATATGAAAAACTTAACATTTACATACGAATATGTAAATGTACGAAAATTAAAAAAGATAAATTCTTACCTATTGCCCATATTAAAGCTGCAATAATGTTTCTGGTATCCATGATTTTTTGTTTTAAACACAGTCAAATTACATAAACAGTACAGGACACAGTATATCTCCTTGTATAACACCAATCCAGACTGATTTATTTTACTTACTTTACCATAAACGAACGTCTCGGTCCCGTGACATGCCTAAATGATATGTTAACTCTGACAGGTGCTTTAATTAATGCGTCAAATGATGGCTGCAAATAGTTATTGATGCACTTATACAATGTACTGTAAACATAATTTACTTAATATATAGTTTGTTAACTAAAATGAAAAATAAAACATGTGTGATTTTACCTCATATATCTACTTGTTGTGCATACCTATACAAAAACATAACCATAAATCTTTATATAAAAACAAATTATTTGCGAACCAGGAAATGGTCACGCGTCTATACAGTATCATGTGCATACTTTCCTTAAACATGTGCATCATTTTTTATAAACCTATACATAATCAGCTGATTACTTGCAAGCGCTTTGTCATCTCAATCTTGATCTATTAAAAATCATAATAAAATAAAATGAAATAAATAATAATAATAAAACAACATATAATATCACTAAACTGACTGTGTAAGTTTGCATTATCTCAATTTATTTTTATTTCTCGATGACAATACATGTAAAACAATTGAGAGTATATATCATCTCGTAATTTACAAAATTAAATTTGTCAAGTACGAAGCACACTTTTGACCAATTTAATGTAGTAAATACATACTAAAAACACTGACCAATTTAGTATTTGAAATTATTTTTGATAAAACTGTCGATATACAAGATTGATTAAATATAGCCGATTTACTTAAGTAAATGTGTTACGATTCATTTGAAATACTGCAGTTCTATTGGACAAAAAAACAATGTCAAACACTTTATATACTATTATATGGAATTTAAACTCGCAATCTTAACTTCTTTGGTCGCTATATCTAAAGAAGAGAAGGATATAGGCTTTTAATATATAAAATGATAGTTTTAACACAAAATGAGTATAAAGTTAGCTAAGAAGATATATACGGCAGATTATTGTATGAAACTGGACTGTTCAAATCAAGAAATTATTGATGCTTAAATAGAGGTTCTTTTTTAGTGATATTGAAATCTTAATGTTAAGAAAATCTTATTCAATAACAACCTTACAAACCATTAATAACTTTTTGAAATAATAAATAAGTGCTTAGATATATTTAATTCAGCCCAGGAACACGTGTTTTTTGTTCTTATTTTTTTAGTTTTTCATGAAATGCAAATGATGTCAAATTAGATATAGTATATTTACACGGCCACAATAAGTTTGAATTTAGCTTTAAAATTGAATTAATAACGAGAATATGAATTGTTTCACTTCTAATGAGAAAACTTGTATTTAATGCAAGCTATGTAAGTTTATTCAGTGAATTCGAGCATGTCATGCATATATTCATATTTTTATTTACTTACTTCTGTTACAAATTCATGTAAATAATTAACTATTTAATTATTTACTCTAAGATAAGTTTCAACTAGGATTGAATGAGATTTTAGTTAACATCCAATGACATATGTGCGAATTATTGAAAGAAAGAATTGCATAGCACAATTAGCAATAATATAAAAGGCACACAATGAGTTTTGTTTAGTTATATATAAACATATTTTTATGAAAGATACATGAATCATAAATGTCTACAGAAATAAAATATTAGCTATACCATTATTTACAAATAAAATATAAATGCAGTTAGTCTTTATGACGTAAAAAATGTACAAAACGATACATAAATATTGAAAAGAATAGCAAAGATATCTGACCCACACAGGGACGATTACATCAGATTATCGAAAAAGAATAATAACTGATGAATCATATACACGAGTTCATATGAAATAAAACACAGAACAATAAAATATTATAGCCCTTTACAGACAATATTAACTGCTAAAACATCTTGGTACTAAAATTGATAAAAAAAGGAAAGACATACATTTTTATGATTTTTTTATGTTGTTTTTTGTTTTATTCTATTTTTATACAATAGAAAGATGCATTCAGGTTCATTGTGTATGAAATAAATCATATACTTAGAGCATGTAATACATACGCGTGCTCCGGGTACGTGGCACAACATACCCTAGTTGTTGAAAATTCATGAAACAGAGACATACATAATAATCACTCGGTTTATCAGTCCCTTTCAAAATAAGGAAAAGGTAAAATAATGAATAAGTGAGAATATAATAGGGCAATCAAGAAGTATCTTCATCAAGATTTACAGGTTTAATTGCTCCTGGGTGAGGTCGGTGTTTCCTACTCATGCTGAAATATCATGAATGATCATTACATTATGGAAAGGAAATATCACAGAAATTCTATTTCAAATTCTCTCAATTATTGGCTTCGTTATGTTCAGAATCGAATCTCATTGCTGTCAGGCTTGGTACTTGGAGTCTGGCAAATACCGGACAGATAGAATGGCGGATAGCACGTAGATTTACCGGTCGTCAAGATATAGACAAATAGCCTATAGCAGAAAAAAAGGTTAATCATGTGCTGACAACACACAAAACGATCACCAACAAAAAGCCTACTGCAAATATTATTGTTACGTTTTTACATTTGTATATTTAACTCGGCGGCAAATCGAATTTGCGACCGTCTCACTTTGTGGTACCAACGCTTTAAGCCAACGCTACGTGTTGATGATTTCCACTGACTTAATTTCATGCGGATTTTTTCACCTTTTTTCTGTTGGTTTCTTAATCATAATGCAAATCCTAAGTAAACACTTTATAAAAGATATATATGTCGAAAATCAACGGACAAGAAACTTTACTATATAAAACTATAGCCTTATCATTAACGATTTCCTAAAGAAGAAGAAAAAAGAGATTTTTTTTGTCATAATCCTTTTAGCATGGTTTCAAAGGTAAGTCGCACTTATTATATATACACTATATACACTTACATTTTTTTTTATTTTAATTAATTCAATAAAAGGATATTGACGAAATGTATGCAAATAATCATTGTTTCTATACACATAAGAGTACTTATGAAAATATATTTAAAATTTGGAATAGTAGTTTCTAATTACATGTATAATTAAACATTTATCGTAAAGGTATCACGGACACAAACTTTACCTCGGCAAGTGTTTTCGCTGAGATGATTTAGAGTTTTTTCATTAATGAATCCTTAGAATAGGTTGCCAGTTATTTAATATATAAAATCCAAGAAATGAACACCCGTTACGTACTTCCGTATTGGTATATAATAAAAGTACTGTTGAACTGACCCGAAACAGCAATTAATGATGAAATGATTCCTTTTGGATCACTTGCATTATATATTACAAGTCACAACCGTTTCTTTTAATAATAAGTGCGATAAAGATTAATGATCTAAATCAATCAAATGTCATATAATTTTACTTCAATAATTAATTTATTTTTTTTTTCAGAAAATGATTTCGAACCGCACAATTTTCTCTTGGGTGTTACTGATCAGTTTAATATGCTGCATCCTAATAGCTGATTTGGAATGTAAGCGTCATTCAAAAGCTGAGAAAAAATTCTCAGAGGAAGATAGCAGTTCATTTTCTAACAACAAAAATGGCGATCAACTTTGGTCAGATGAAAATAACCAAGAACGAGTGAACGAAAAGCATCCGAAGCCTAAAAAAGAAAGTTCAGAAAGCATATATTCGACAATATCAGAGCAAAGGAACATCAAAGAAACAGATTCAAGTTCTGAAAATACCAATAGTAATTATCTTCAAGATAAAGATACTGATAATGACAAAAGCGCTGAAACGACTTTAAGAGAAGATTCGAGCGTCAGAAGAAATCAATTCAAACCAAAGTATTTGGAAGACGAAGAAGATTACAAAACCTTTGAAAGAAAATCTTATTCGTCAAATCCAGAAAATAAAAATGATATTGGCACTGAGAGCAGAAGAACACTAACTGAGGAAGATTTCACCAGCCAAGAAAGTGAAGCAACGTCAAGAAACAAAGAACGAGAGACTAATGAATTGAAAGTAAGCGAGCAGCAAGAAAAACAGGGAAAAGATAGAACGGAGCCGTCTGATTCAAAATCAAGCTATCATGAAAACGATGTAGACAAAACTGAAAGGAGTATGGGTAAGACCGGGAGTGAAAACGAATACTATGAAAATAGTAGAGGTAAGACCGGGAGAGAAAACGAATACAATGAAAATAGCAGAGATAAGACCGGGAGTGAAAACGAATACAATGAAAATAGTAGAGGTAAGACCGGGAGTGAAAACGAATACAATGAAAATGGTAGAGAAAAGACCGGGAGTGAAAACGAATACAATGAAAATAGTAGAGAAAAGACCGGGAGTGAAAACGAATACAATGAAAATAGTAGAGAAAAGACCGGGAGTGAAAACGAATACAATGGAAATAGTAGAGAAAAGACGGGGAGTGAAAACAAATACAATGAAAATAGCAGAGATAAGACCGGGAGTGAAAACGAATACAATGAAAAGAGCAGTATTAGTATGTCAAAACATTCCAATGGGGATCTTAACTATCAAGGTGACAGGAGTTCGGAACAGAAACATACATTGACAGAAGACAGCAGTGGAGCATCAGGAGAAAGCATTCAAAAGACGACCGAAGCCAAACCAATAATATTAAAATATCAGAACCCATTGTCTTAACGCCAAATGATAATGTTGATTATGATAATAACGTTTTGTACTCAGAAAACAGCGTTTTTAGCACAACCGTAAGTCCTACAAAATACCAGACCTCTTTATCAAATATGTTATCCACAGCAACAACAAACAAACCAAGCATATCATCGACAGGAGTTATAAATGCAAGACAAGATAAGAAAGAGGAAACTGTTGACATATTAAATACTGCACCGGGAATAATAATAAAACAGCCATTTACTGGTCGTAAAAAGTGCATTGAAAGAACGCCTCCTTGTTGTGTTCCCGGTCAGGTTGATATAAATCTTGGTGAGTGTCATGTTGGCTTTTCTTCTATGCAATGTTTCTTTTTTTTGTTAAGTAGTTCACACAAACGTAAATTTACATAAATAAATGTTTGAAGGTCTGTGGTGAGGAATAGGCATGATTTTCAGTTTTAAATAGATTTCGATAAATACAATAAAAATGTGTTTTACGATGTTCTTTGATGATGAAAAAAACATGATTTAGAAAGTCGTTTTTTTCTCAACGCGATCGGTAATTTCCACCGCCATTTTAACTGATGACGTTTCAATATCCCTACTTAATTTTCTTAACCCTCATGTCAGTTATGCTTATGTGTAAATGCATCAAAATATCTATTGTATTGTACAATTGTTTTTTCTTAACGAGTATTATGTAAAAAGAATAAAGATTTTCTTTTGATATTTAAGTGCTTTACGCGAACTCGACCATAAATGCAGCTGATTTTTAAACTCAAATGGCCATTCAATTATTCAACTGGATTGTAAATTAACAAGGAAAGAGACAAATAAACAGACAAAAACATCCTCAAGGCTTAAATTTCTGTTACAAACCATGCAATTTACGGCTTTATAGACAGATTTTGATGTATATCAAATTTTACTAGACGTCTATTTTCTGATTTGGTATTCTTTCTAAGCTAAGTATTGTCTTCATCACTTTACCCTTTGATTATTATCTACACCATAATCTCTTTATAGTAATTCATCAAAGATCTATTTGTGCAATGTTTTGAACAATTCTGTCACATGATCTTTTGTGTGTGTATTTAGGTACAATTAATTATAAAGCACGGGTAAATGGCGAGTTGGATGGTGTTAGTGCAACAGTATCTACAAAGCCACAGAGAGCATACAAACGATGTAGCAATTCCGCTGTAATTAAGGTTATATATAACTATGTCTTATCTGCTTATTGTAAGTTCATCAAGACAACTCTTACTTAAAGATATAGGAATTTTTTAAATTAAAATGTTGTGTATATGGTCTTTTGTCTAGTGGTAATGCAATATGAATACATTTTGTCCTGGTTCACCATTTAAGTGACATTATACTAATTTTTTTTTACCACCGTCAAGTTCAGGCGCTTTACCTACATATTCAAAAGATTTACTATGTAAATGGTCCCTGATCTATAACTGCTAATGGAAAATGATAAGAACTGCCTAAAGTTAAAAAGACTGCCCTATCTTTTTATCATATAAACGTTACTGCTACATTCTGAGGGATATCTAAAGCATTTTTCGGGAGTCATTTGATAGACGTGAACATTAATAAAATAAAATATTGCCTTTTATTATGGCCTTTTTAGCTTTCCATTCACCATTTACGCTTTAAGTGACAGAATGCCTCTTTAAGGACGTATACCTTCATTTACATGCAATAACAATATGCAAGGAAAATACAGGAATGTAATGTTCATATATTTTCACAGTAAGCCTAAATTGTCTTTGGTGTACTTTTGCAAAATAAAAGCTCTCATGACGTCATATGGCTTTACTCAAATCAATTCAAATTGCAAACTTTTTTTCAAATAAAGAACATTGTTTTCAAAGCGTGGTTTAATTGACAAATTCAGGTAACATTTGATCCAATGGGGAACGAAGGTTGTTTTGGGTGTACTAAAGGACCTTTCTGTGGCCGTCGTCTGCTACAACTTGATCTTGACCTGTCTAGAAACAGGCGTCGTGATACACTGTTGTACATCACGGACTCGCATTCTAAAGATGGTATGTATTAATTTTAACACTATATTTAAACAGAATTAATAACAATCCATTTGGTTTATATCACATAAGATTCGAAATATCTGTAAATCAGATATGACATTTATATCCAAACCGGATACGGACTATTTTTTCTCAAGTTAGACGGTGCATATTTAAGGATATTTCTCGTATTAAAAATTGACAGTTGTCAATGTATTGAGGCGCCTTGTGTAATTAAAGAATCAAGAACAGTTTTAGTTTATTATGCATATCGTGTTATATTTCGACATAAAAATAATAAATTATAAAATATATTGCAAATTATTTAATAATAATTTTGTAATGAATTATATTGAAAGGAAATTACGGACCTTGAACCTCATTCCATTTTCATTTTATGGCAATATTTCATTGTGTTTATAAATATTTCACATTCATTTAGTGATTTTAGGTCATCGAAGACATATTTCACATTTCGTTAATGATTTAATTAATTGAAAATTGCAGGCCTAAATATAATCATATATACACGAGTTCTGCAACAGTTTTAGCCAGAAATTATATCAGTGCCACAAAGAAAATTTGTCTAATAATCTTAAAGTTTGTGTTTAATTAATAATTTATCACGCCCTCATGATACAATTCCTCGCATCCGAACTCCGAACAGTGATTATAGTTAGCGTTAAATCACTGTTGGGGATATATTATTGCGATTCTAACGTGTCAAGGAACATTGCTCCAGCATTTCTGAGTGCAGGTCGTGTTAGAATAAGACAAAAGTTATTGTATGACATTCGTAATGGCTTTGTGTCAAAATTATGAACCTCAAACAAAATTATTTACGATGTTTCAGATGGCGCAATCGTGCATATAATTCCTCGCATCCGAACTCCGAACAGTGATTTTTATTTAGCGTTAAATCACTGTTGGGGATATATTATTTCGATTTTAATGTGTCAAGGTACATTGCTCCAACATTTCGGTTAATGTGAGTGCAGGTCGTGTTAGAATAAGACAAAAGTTATTGTTTGACAATCGTAATGTCTTTGTGTCAAAATTATAAATCTCAAACAAAATTATTTACTAAGTTTCAGATGGCGCAATCGTGCATGCTGTATTTCCACATGTTAAAATTTATCCTCATAACTCTGCCGGAAACTCATCAAGTCACGTGATGATTATGGGCGTGACGAACTCGCGTACTAATAAGATGACTGTTTACATCGGAAACCAATTTATGCGCATGACCAATGACAATCGTCTGGATGAAAATTTTTGCATGAACGATCTGTTTCATTTGAACGGACAGTTTGATCCGGGCAGTGGCGGGATGTCTCCGAATGAAATTACAATTGGAATAAATAGACAGATTCCACAAAGCGATGAAGAACGAAGTTTTGGAGTATGCTCCGCCTCATTAAAGTGGACATGTCCTTGGCAAGAAACATAAGGGCATTACATGTTTTTTCTTCTTTACTTCATTGTATAAAGTAGAAATAAAAGACCAAGAATTACTTCACTTGTATTTTTGTGTTTTATTTTAATTATTGCTTCCAATGTGCCATTTAATTAATTCAAACTATGTGCATAAACATTATCCCTCTACTTAAAATATAACTTTTTCTATTCTAGCTAAACATAGTGCACACATATTTATCAACACTTTTAATGAGTAAAGAACATGTAATGGAAAGAGCATCGAAACACGAGGTTATCTGATTTGTACAAGCCTCAGGGGCCGTAGCCCCCGAATATTAATCAGATTGCCGAGTGTTTTGGTGTTGTTTCTCTTTTGTATCATAGTCAAATTAAAAAAAACACGTTCCCTGATGTCACAATATGAAACCCCAGAAAAATGTAACCAATGAACGAGCATATGATATTTCTATCTCTCTGTCGTCACAATATGTAAAACCCAGACAAAATGAACTTTTCAATGGGCATGCTCTGAAGTGCGGGTAACTAATACCTGCACTCCAGTTAACGCACTGTGCATGTTATATGAGTTAACTCTTGACACATTTTCAACAGAAAGGTCCCCAAACTATGTTACAATTTATTTTTACATTGAATATAAGCATCGGATCATTTGCCCGCCAGTTTATACCGGATACAGTTTGCACACTGATGGCTTATTTTTCTGTTATTAAGTAACATTCCTCGCCCTACGCTTTGATTATCTGTTGTTAATTACCAGTAGCATGAAATTGTTATCATAACTGCGGTAGGAGTGTCCTTTATCATGTGTACTAAATTACTTTAACCTTCATACCAATGCGACAAAACATCTCAATGATGGACAAATGTTGCAACAGCAATCTACAACCAATGACCAAAGTTATTTCAAACCCGACAAGTCATGTACATTTAATGTAGATAGTAAATAAAATTGACGAGGATTTTTTTCTGTTCTTATTGTTATTTTTTTTGTTTTGTTTTCATGGCCTTTATAATTATGTTCATCTAATTGGCACGTAGACATTAATTCTATCATCTGTTTTTATGACGCTGTCGGTATGAATCCTGTGTTTATCCTATGGATAAACTTAATAGAAGTAATCTTATACACAGTCTGGCTTCAAAGGTTATAGTTGATCCCAAATCATTAATTATGGTCAATTGAGAATTTTTTAATATTCTGAGCAAAAAAAATCTAGATGTCGGCTTCTCCAGAATAAAAATTGAAATGAAGTAATTAACTACTTTTTCTCATAAATGGGTTTCATTAACAGTTTATAAGTTTTGTCTTCTAATGAAAACATTTCAGCGTTAGCGTTATTCCTTAAAACAATCAATGTGTTATTTAAGATTCAAAATTTATACAGTGCCTTTAACTCATCAAGTTTGACGCGACTGTACTGTTTTTCATTGTAAATGACCTCCAGACGTAATTATCTGTACATTTAATCAGGCAACTATATACAGTGTATCTTTGTTGTATTAAATGAATATAAAAAAATGGAAGTCATTTCATCACCACGCATTTGAAAGTACTGTTATAAAAATCTATTATTAGAACATCGTATGAAACGTACTGATGAACATGGTTCAAGGTTGAACAGAAAGACAGACATGAAAACAAACAAATAAGATTAGATAATACCAAAAGTAATGTTATACAGATAGACCCGATTATGGTGAACTCCCCAGGACCATGATAATAGTACGTTATACCCGAGGTTTATTAGCCAATAAAAAACTTGTATCTTTCAACCAGCCACAAATAATTTAAACTTATTATTCCGGCAAAGTGTGGTTGAGTGAAGTGTCTGAAATATTACACCTACACTTTCATTAAATTATATCATAGAATATAAATGTCAGAAAAATATTTCCGGTCAACAACCTTATTAGAATCCCCTAATTTGACATAAGATAAAGAAGGAGTGTGCGATATATCAGAATTCGGTATAGGTGAGCACAACTGTACAATGGCAATCTTGGGTAACAGTTAAAAAGATAGTGATTCATTTTCCCATTATCTAATAATTGCACACGATGTTTCTCATTCTCCATATCAATGATATAAGTAGTTATAGTATATGAAACGAGTTAGTTACGAGGATATAACAATGACTGAGACGACATCTAGGGATGTTTCTGCTAAAATAAATGGCGAGGCCGTTTGGCCGAGACAGTTTTTTGCAGAAACATCGAGATGTCGCCCCAGCCAGTGTTATGCCCTCGTAAATAACGAGTTTCATATACTATAACTGTTTTATCGCATTTTCATTTTTTGTAATAGAAATCAGAAAAAAATACAAGAAAAAACACCAACAAAAAAGGTGAATTTCACTGTCTTGTGCCCTTTCGCTTTTTCACCTTGTGACTTTCAGATAAAATGAACAAAATGATGTCGTAAGCTATCTAACACCCCAGTTACACAGAGCCATCGGTGATTGATCGGTAGTTTTTTGAGCCAAATTATGGAGTGAACCGATGACATAGAGGATATTTGTTTAGTTCAGTGTAAGATCGGAATATATTTCACCGAGTGAGCACCAAAAGGTATATTTCACGAGTGGCGCAGCCACGAGTGAAATATGAACTTTTGGTGTTCACAAGGTGAAATATATTTCAATCTTACACTAAACTAAACAAATTTTCTTTTTATTATATGCAAAGAAACGTTTTAAAAAGACATTTAACCTAATACTGAATGAAAAGCGCGCCAAATAATAATATAACGTGACGTCATATACGACGTCACGTCATTAAGTTGGTTCCCAGTACTGTGCACGCTGGTATTTCACTGAAATAACGTAAGGGGCTTAAATTCAAAACAGTGAAATTATCAAAGTGGTAATTTCACTGTTTCAAACAGTGAAATTACCATTTTTATATCACTGATATATTTCTATAAACCACCGAAAAGCATGTAATAAAACGTATTTAACACCGATATCACCTATTGGTCACCTGTTTTCCACCTATCAACTGCTATTGGGGAAAGATAAGTTTCATCGGTGAAAACTTACCGATTGGAATTTTTAAACATGTTTAAAATTCTAGATCGGTGAAAATATTTTATAAATTACTGACAGCAATCGATATCACGAGATATGCAAGCTCTTAATCACCGATATCGCCGATCGGACAAAGATGACCAAATATGAATCACCGGCCTGTCTGACGGAAAGGGTTTAACCACTGATGACTAGCTATGAACCACCGATTAATCAGCGTTACGCCCGATTTAGCTCCGATTAACAAACGATAAAAACCGATTTATTTCAGCATTTTTATAAAACCGATCCAACCCCGTTTGAGTTTGCTTTCTGTCACCGATGGCCGTTTACACAGAAAATCAGAAATAAAATCACGCATGATAACCGATCATAACAGCAAGTAAATTTAAAATTATATGACCGATTGGGGACCGACAGTCAATGTAACCGACCCCTTAGGCTCCTTACCAGCTGATAACAGCTGCATATTATTGAAAACTTAAAACAACGTCAAATGTTAGAGACGGATTGTAAACTGATAGTTTGTGGAGAAAGCTATTCGGATTCAAGATTTAAGGGCTTTTTACAGTGGAAATTATTCATTCAGCGGCTGTACCTTTTGATTTCAGCAGTTGCATAATTATATGAGAATAAATTCATTTCATTAATTTTATTTCTTACTTATTATTATTATTATTATTATTATTATTTATAGTTTTGCTAGATAGATACACATGTAGATAACACTAGATACTTTTATTTCCTCCAATATTTGAAGAGCATACGGTGCGAAAAAAAAACTCAACCGCTATATAGCAGTTGAGTGTTTTTCCTATATGAATCAATGAAAAATCTGTACTGCTATATATCAATATAGTTTTCAAATGTTCATTGAAAGTGTACTGAGTATAATGGGTTAGTAAAAACAAAGAAAACGTTCCAAACCATGAGATAAACAAAGATTATTATTGAATTGAAATTTACTCTCAGTTAATCAAAAGGAACATCCGCTGAATAAATTATTTCCACTGAAAAAAAAAAAACATTGGTAACAGTTTACAATCCGCCTCTAACATTTGATGTCTTATGTTTATCTTTTTTTTGCGGCAGTGAAAACAACTTGAACAAAACTGCCTTATCATAAATAGCTGTAATGTAGCTGACGATTTATTTATTTATTTATTTTTATGTATTTATTTATTAAACGCACTGTTATTTTATTTCTGTTACAAAGAGAAAAAAACATTATGCCATCGCGATATTGGCTGAGCGACATCTCGGGATGTTTCTGCAAAAGCTTGTTCCGACTTTATGGCCTCGCTTTTTGTTAGAAGAAACATCCCTTGATGTCGCCCCATCCAGTGTTATATTCTCTTAACTAACTCGTTTCATGTACTATAACTATTATTGAATGTAAAACGAAGAATTTTTAAACATGAAGATGATATAACAAATTTCTATTGTAATTACAAATGTACATTGTAAATGTATGTCAATTAATATGTTAAGATTAAAGAAGGTTTATTATGTATAGGAAAGTATCCAGAAGTAAGAAAATCAAAAGTATGCCATTTAATTCTTCAACTTCAATGCTAAGCACTTAAAACATTTGCATTATATGTTTCTAAATTACCAACAATGTTCGGAAGTGAATAAATATGAGTAATGTGATCCTATATATTATGTTACCTCACTTGAAATACAAACAAAATAAATACAACTTGTTTTCGATAAAACCTTACCATGTGTACATATAACGATATGATATATTTCATTTTGTTTTGCTATTAACTATATGAGATAAATATAATCATTGAAATTATTTTGAAAGAACGATTCCTGACCGCATACTTTCCCGGCAGTACTTAATTATAAATTAACTGATTTATTTGTTTATTGGTCTGTTTTTATGTATTTGTTAACTTGTCCGTCACTTCGTTCGTTCGTTAGTTTGCTTGCTTGTTCATTTCTTATAGCCTGTCAGCATGCCTACCTACCTTCCTTTAATCATTCCGTCACTCCTTTGTTCTTCTTTCCGTCATTGAAGTTCATTATATCCTTCCCTTTGTCATTCCTTCCTTCTTTTTGTCCGTCCTTCTTTCCTTCTTCCCTTTTTCTTTCCTTCCTTTTTTACTTACTTCCTTCCTTCCTTCATCCTTCCTTTTTTCTTCCTTTTTTTCCTCCTTCCTACATTCCCTCCTTCCTTCTTATATAAAACCACAGCTGTTACATAAATGTTTTATGTAAACGAAACGGCGTATTCATGATTTTCACGTTCGTCACTCGTGTTGAATGGATGTCGTGTTGCAAGCAAATGTCAGACTTAGATAGCTTCTGTGTTAACCTGCTGACTTTGAATACTCTAAAATGTTGCTGAAATTGCATGGGTCTTGATATCAAAATGCAAAATTATAAAACTTTTAAAACTAAATTTTTCATACTAAAGGTATAAATCCTGATCAGAGAGTACTACATGCATGTATTAGTGGCAAAAGAAAACCACCTCCGAATTCAGCAGCATAAGGAATAAGAAATAATATTTTTCACATGCCAATAAAATAGTATGAAAGTTATTAAAGCTCGAATATAGTAAGGAACAAATTATTAATATACCAATACAATTCTAAAATGCTTTATTCATATTGTTACAACTAGTTAAAGATCGACAACATATTGTACGGCCTATGGGACTATTTTGGAAAATGTTTGTGTCTGATATATATTAATTATAACAAAAATTGTTGTCGGAGTGTTGTAGCTAAAACAATTAAGTGTTTACTCATAAGAGTAGAACAGAAATAATAGTTTTATTTTTTCGATCAATATGTTTCTAACGTGGGGGTTTAAAGAGTTCGGTTTGAAAATACAAAGTGTGTTTTTTCTCAAAGATGTCCTAGTTGAATGGACAGTGTACTATCCTTTTTTGTTTATAAAACAAACAAAAAACAAACAAAAAAACAATAAAAAAAAACCGTTATCATAGCTGTGCAGACGTCTTCTTAGTAAACCAGTGTGACTAGTCGAGTGCACAAACTCACATATATATCATAATCGTACGAGACAGTCCGACGTCCGAAGTCCTTTATTTGTTGACAAACATGGCGAGTGAATCAAACTTCATGATCACGCGTTCGTTTGTCTGTACTTGAATATACGTATATTTGTCAATGACCTTAAATGATCGTCATGTATATAAAGAAATTATCATATATAATGAATGTTAATGTCATTTTGTAACATTTTCAAGTGAAAAATTAAAATATCGCGTTAATATTTTCGTTTATCGACATTCGTTATTCAATTAAATTGTAAGAAAGAAAACCTTGTTTCTTCTTGAAGATTTGGGATACCAAGATTTTGTAGCTTATAAAATATAAAGTTTATTTAAGCTCTTTTTTAAAAGAACTTAAAATTAAACCAAAATCAGACAGTTCTACAAAAAATCATGACGTCATTTCTCGATATGGAAATTTCAACGTCAAGTAGACTCATGACGTCACCATGTTTCAACGAATTTAGTGACATCATCAAGAGGAAGGAAATAACATACGGTGAGTTATTCAAACTGTAGATTGGACAATTAAGTCAACTGGCGTTAGTTCATGTAATATATTAGTATTTTGTCCTCCTCCATTTCTAGAAAAAAATAGTTCTAAATAAGTTCTAAATGCTTACATTCAAAAATTTGAACCATTAATTTAGTTTTTGACGAAATTGTTTTCAAAAAATTTAAAATGCAAAAAGACTAAAGTACATAAATTTAGAGACATATTTATTTTTCTGTTTCAACAATAAATATAGCATATTCAAGTTTTTTTTTATCTAATACAGGATTTATTTACATCGAGTGGTTTGAAAATAAATATTTCATGAGTGGCGGAAGCCACGAGTGAAATATCATAATTTCAAACCACAACATGCAATAAATCCTGTAAAACAATAAAATATGTTTGTTATATTCATTTTTTCTCGATTTGTTGACATTACAATTTGAAACACTTTCCCTTAAATATTGTGCACTGGCAGAATTAAGAAAAAGTAGTTCGGCACCAGAGAAAATAAGGAAAATATGTTTCACTGCAGTGAAAAATAAATGTTGTTAATATTATGTCAAAATACTCATGTTATGCCACATAAGGTAGACAACAATAGTAGCAAAATGGTTAACATATTAAGGGAATTATATAACTTGCTTTCAGGTAGATATTTTAACGCGTGAACTTTCTGACACGTTAGAAATGTCTTGCTGATGTAAGCAGAATTTACATTTATAACTTTAAAGTAATATTTGAGATTATATAATAGCTCTATATAATATCATAATGAATGTAAATTAATATACAATGTATATCTATATAACTGTTCACGTGAGTAGCCTTAATTACATATATGACAAATAAAGGCAATTTTCGGTATGATCGGCATATGCAATATTAAGGGGAGTGTAATAAGTCAATAATTCGGAGCCATTTAATTCTAGAGTGATCTCTCTTATTAACAGTTCTAATAGACAACAAATTGTCAGGGTTGAAGAAAATGTACATTTATTTTGCTTTAAATAAAATTTCTAGGTAATTAAAAACAAAATTTAATGAATCAAGAAAGTACGGTGTCCCGTTAAGGCCTTCGCCGCATACTTATATACCGAAACAACGATAATGCGATACGTACTTAGGTTGTTTTGGTGTTTTTGAGTTTTCATCATCGTAGTATTATCGTTGTTACAGTGTAAGAATATGCGGGGATGGTCCTAAAGTGACACCGTGTGAAAGCAACTCAATCTTGGTGGGTCTTTAAACCACCCAGTTTCATGAGAATGATACTATAATGTTAAATACTGATAAATTCATAGATTAGTTATCATTTTTCATTGTAAATAACCTCGACTTGAACTAAATATTGTACAGCTGGCAATGACTTCAAATAACTTGTAACTGGTTCATATATGTTAGCATATTCTTTGTTTTATTGATTACATTTAAATAAATCCTGGATGAAATTTTCAAAATATAAAATTTCAATTGTTTCTAACTGTGAAATGAAGAATGAGTGAACATTTAAAATGAATATTTCCATATATATCATTGAATTTAACATGTGGTTTTATCTTCATTAGGTTTGTCTATCTAATTGTGTCACTTCATTATATTTTATGGTAAAAATAAGCATCAAATATATCTTTATCAAAAGTTTTCGATGTCGCAATCCCAGATCCAACATGTTATTTTGCAAGAACCGTTCAATTTTGCTTTGGCTCAAAAATAATTGCAAATCACAAATCGATTCGACATTTAAAGTACATCACTTTAAATGACATATTTTAAGTTTCATATCAACAAATAATTTTGCTATCTTACGCACAGTATGGACAGACCTTATCACTATTGTTATGTATATAATGTAGATACTTGTTACATATAAGTAGTTACAAAGTTCATTTTTATCATAGATGAAAATAGATTGCTCGCCGTCCTGGTTCAAACGTGGCCACTTGAGACTAGATTTGAGCCGTGTCACGACAAAACCAACATAGTGGGTTTGCGACCAGCATGGATCCAGACCAGCCTGCGCATCCGCACAGTCTGATCAGGATCCATGCTGTTCGCTTTCAGTTTCTGTACTTGTAATAGAGTTGGTAAGCGAACAGCATGGATCCTGATCAGACTGCGCGGATGCATGCTGGCCGCAAATCCACTATGTTGGTTTTGTCATGACACGGCTCAATTATATACTACTATACTAGTACGTCACGTTATTGTCCTCAATATTAACATTCTAATTTATCAGTCGTATTTTCGGATTATTAGATTTGAAAGTGGACAAAATATGTGATCAGGAAGTTTATTGTTTTAATCATAGGAAAAAGTTAGAAATAGTTCAGATACATTTTTGTTTCAAAATGGAATACACAACGCATACACAGGGTATAGATTTTACTTTTGTCCTAAATACATGTATGTCTAAATTGAATCGTCTATTTACCTAATATTTAATGCCTCTGAAATGTTTTTTTTTTCGTTTGTCAAAAGCTTTTATTTTTAATGTCTTGTTTAATAGTTTCCAAAAAAGTTACTTATTAGTCAATTACTTGAACCATCGTGTACTACTGTTGCTTTTTTGCAATTAATAAAACGTACAGTGATTTAGAATTTGTACGGAAGTCAAAATACTTTACTTAGTTTACATTTTGCTATTTGTATGACAAATGATTTCACATGCTCCACATTCTTCTGGAGATAAGTATCTAAATTTTTCTGAAACCATTATTTTAACGTTATGAGACTTTTGTAAATGTGTTGTTTTTTCCGTGTCTGAGACATAATATGCTTCGAAAACGAACGCAACATTAATTCAACTATACATGTTATCAACATAAGTATTTTCATACTTTACATATGAATTAACATGTAAATTCATATAAGGAAGAACAACTCTACACCGAACATAGACGATTGGACAGTGTTGCATTTTGACTTATATCATTATTTTTCTTCCTTCAGGTCCGTGTATGCTGTCTGTGTTCAGTAAGACATTAGGATATGTTTTAATAGGAACCATGACTGTTAGTAAGTAATAAACTACATTTAGCTTATTTCATTAAGCATATGAATCTCACTCTGCGGATGCTTCAGAATTCTACAAGTTCATGTTTAATGTTGAATTTTGCTTGAGCCGGTGATAGAGGGCGTGGACGGTAACTTGCAATTTCCAGTACCGTCCATGAACAGGCCCAATCAATCCGAACCTGCAACATTTACAAATTTGTCACTTAAAAAACATTGCTGTTCCGTCTATTCAATTATTATTATTATAATCTAATTTGAATCATTATAAACTTATATGAATCAATTACTGATATATCCCATCATGTATTTGTATAAACCTGTTTGTATTTCTTACGTACCATATGTGTATGACGTTAGGAAAGAACGAAATAATAGCAGCATGTCTCTCCTCCGAATCATAGCAAAATGGTGTATGTGATACCTGACAATTGACGTCATGTATCACGAACATGAGTGAAATGTATGGACCGCTATAAGAACACTTCTTACTGTATTTCGTGTCACATTGACGGTTCCATGATAACCGCCATATGAACACATCTGCAGATGTTTCAAATTCAAAATTGTACCAGTTCATGTTAAATGTTGAATTCAGCTTAAGCCGGTGCTAGGAGGGGGGGGGGGGGTGGACGTTAATTCGCACCTGACAGTACCGTCCATGAACAGGCTTGATCAAACCGAGACTGAACATTTTCAATTTTGCCGTGCTGGGTTTCTTTAGGGATTCTTAATGTCTCTACTCATTCGGCTTCTGTCCGTTTCTTTCTCCTCCATTGTAGGCAATCGTTCATTTATACAATTTTATTTCAATCTAAAAACACATTTTTTTTACATCTACGGATTTCTTTTTTAGGTCTGATACCACAAATTGTAAAGATATTGAGAAAGCGGAGTGCTTCTGGAGTCAGTTTCGTTAGTATTTTGTTGACGCTGGAAGCGTCTTCGGCAACTGTCGCTTACGCCATACAAAAACGATTTCCTGTCAGGTAAGCCACTGTTTTATACATTATTACAGCAAATTATCCTGTTCAAACGGATAGAACAAAGGAATAGTGAAATATTACAACATTTTGACCTGCACTGACTCAACTTTTTTTTCTGATAATTTAAAAAAAATACATTCATACATATCTGAATTTGAATAAGCAGTAGGAGGGCCTTCGTGGTGAGGAGTGATCGCGGGTGGAGCCGCCACGAGTGCAGATCTTGATGGTAGTAGTAAATATTCAAACGATAATGACAATGCTGGATAATGATACTGTTTAAATAGTTTGTATATTAACGATTAAGACATATAAATTACATATAATGATAACAAGAACTTTGATATTTTAGCCTTTCTCAATATAAATATAAAATTTTGATAATTACAGTCTGAATAAAAACATCATTAAGGAAGGAAAAAACATTTGCGGTGGTTTTAAATATTGAATGAAAAGGTTGTTGACAGAAACGTGTTTAATTAAAATGTTTAGGACATATTAATTACTGCAAATTTCTCTACGTGCTGTCATGTATGTGTGTCATTATAATTAATTAACTAATTTGTTCTTATTTTTATGCGTTGCTTCTTAAGCCAAGAAATAAAATAAATTTAAATGTAGGTCTACGCTATTTAGTAAAGCCGGTCACTAATTTGAGCAAATCATTTTTTATTTCCCATCGTTTCAAATTTAAAAATCATCATGTTTCATTAAATACTTAAATTCTTTTTTGTTCGATCATTCGTACTTTCCTTCCTTTTTTATTTTTCTATATTAATTTCCTTTTCTTTACTTGTCCTTCATTCCTTCCTACCTTCTATCCTACCTTTCTACGCTCCTTTGTTTGTTCGTTTATTCCTTCGTTCCTTCGTTTGTTCCTTCCTTAGTTCGTTCCTCCGTTCGTTTGATTTTCCTTCCTTCCTCCTTCGTTCTGGTATTCCTTTGTTCCAAGACTGGCTTCAGTGCGCCCAAATTTCATCCACTTAACACACAATAATCGACTTTTTTCATACGGATAATTCCTCTATTCCATTTATTCTAAAGCTATCAACTTTTCAGTAAAAACAAGACTTGTTTGTCATTTTTTTATTCTTTTTGTGGACATTCATTCTTTTCTTCCGAGACATTATATTCTATCATTATTTTAAGAAGTTTGAACCCGTTCACTATTGACCATGATTTCTCTGTTTACTTGCAGTGCATGGGGAGAGAATATAGTACTGATGCACATGAATGTGGTGCTGATCTGCCTTCTATTACGCTACAACAACAAACTGAAAACATCTATAACTTTTCTAGCAATATATATATTGTTTATGCTATTACTGCTGTGGCCAACTGTTCCCAGTCAGCTTGTATGGGGCCTATATCTATTAAGCATGCCTGCAATTGCTGCAAGCAGGGTAAGTTAGCGTTTGTTCAAATATTAAGCATTCGGCACAGGCTTTCGAAAACAGAATGTTTCTCCATGAGTCTTTTATTAAAGGAAATACTTATTACACGTATTACCAAATACTTGTTCCATGTTGAGTCCGGTAATTGTGCCATAGAATTATTTTATTCGTGTAAGTGTTAAAATGTATTTTCATTTTGCAACATACTTTACATTTTTCTTCATTTTGATTTTTGTTGTGTGCAATAATGGTTATGACATACAATTCAATTTGCTATTAACATTACCTATTTTAAATCCTTAATTTAAATAAAAGCGTGTAGTTAAATTTTCTGTTCCCCTTATTATGATTCTTGAATTTCACTTGCAGTTAATACAAATGTATAAAAACCGGAAGACAAAAGATCCAGGACAGCTTTCAGCAACTACGGCATTTTTATGTATATTCCAAGGGTTCGGACGCCTTACGACGTCAATAGTTACAACCGGTGATGACGTCATGATATATACCTTTGCTGTCGTCACGCTGTTAAACATTCTTCTCTTTTTACAAGTGATGTATTACAGACGAAAACTGAAGAAAGTTTCTTGAGATGGTAATTGACTTATGACTGGAAGTCTATTGGAAGAATACTTTCTTTCAAAAATATAGGAAACAAGTGTTAGAAAAGCTACTCGGGCAAAATGATTCGTCTTTGAAGTACCAGAAAAAAAGAAGATGTAAGAATGAGAAGATACGGCTTATTGTGGGTCGCTAACAGCGGGCGACGGTCAAACCGACAACCTTCGATCGGCAGTTGGATGGCAATTAGTATGCATATTAGTCAAAGGTTCATAAAGTTGACAGAAATTTACCTTTGCTTTATATGTATGTCAGTGGTTAAATTCAAAATGGGCCAATGTTTCAGATTTATTATATATGTTTTACGGGGAATACCTTCGTGATAACGCGCTTTGAAATTGAGTGATCTTGCTATTAAGAGTACATTTTAATAAAGAGTGCTGATTTTTTATGTTAATTAAAAAACAATTGACCCATAAGTATTTGCTGTTATGTGTTTCGTATGTCGCATTTTCAATTTGTATGATGCGTATTTTTATGTTATTTTGTACTTGATTGAATCTGTGTTTCAATTTTAATAAATCTTGAAAATCTGTTGAAAGCCTTATATGTTATTGCTGCTGCTGCTGCTGCTGTTGTTGTTGTTGTTGTTGTTGTTGTACATCTTTATAAATTGAAGTTTTAGAATTCGGCTTAATAGGCAAATGCTTGATATGTTTTTATTTTAAAATGTATCCTATAAGAAACCGTACTATTTCAATTTCCACAGTAAGCTAGTACTAAACAAACAGACGTTTTATTTTCAAAGAAGCCAACAAGGAATCTTTATATAATCCCGTATTTTGGTTGCAGTTATATAAGAAAAATTAACAAAAGTGTAACGGCGACGCCGACGCCGGAGTAAGTACAATAGCTATCCCTATGCTTCGAATAGTCGAAAAGATAAGCAAAGAACTACACCCAATACTTAGAAATCTGGAAACAAAGTGATCCCTTGGAAGCATTAATCACAACAAAATTAAATGAAAATTGAAGACTTGGTTAAGGTCTCACAAAAAAAGAATACTTATGACAATGCGTCAGGAGAATTCTGTTGATTCCAATTCCCTCCAAGTATTTAAAAGCGGAGAATTTAGGTAACTTTCCACTTACACTTTTTTGTCACTTTATTTTTTGATTGCCTCATTATATTGATCTTGTTTTTCTTCTTCCAGTGTTTCTCCATTTTTTCAGTTTTTTTCTTTTCAGAGAAATATTCAATACTTTATTTATACATTGAATTTTACGTCGTAATATTCACTTGAAAACTGAGAAAAACAATCCTTCTGAAACTTTTTCCTCAAGATTTTCAACGATATTTGAATCCGTCATTAACAAAAGCTATTAAAAAGTTTCTACGTAGGATAATTGACAAATAAAGTACATATTCTTTTTTAATAGTCATTCTATTAAGACTATGTAAGAAAAGAACCCATCTGACTCTTTGCGAAGGTCTAAATAGAACAAAACATATTGTATTACTATTGTTATTTGGTATAATATTGATTTTGATAATGAAATTGTTTATTCTGAACCATAATTTTATGAGACGAATTTCTAAAGACATATTTCAAAAACAAATGACTGAATTATATTCCAAGTAATTTTTTCCCATAAAATACTCTGAACAAAGCAAGAAGATTTTTGTTTCATGGTAAATGTTTTTGTCACTAGTTTTCCTATTGAATCACCAGTGTTCAACTGCATAAAACAAATACAGCTCTTTCCATGCGTTCTTGTATCAAATTCTTATTATTTTGTTCATGTAAATTTAATAAAACTTTCAAGCGAGGGTTTACGCACGTGTAAAATGACTGCAAAGGAATGGTCATTTGTGCACTGCATGCCTTTCTTCTCTTTAGAAGAGCTGAATAAATTGCTACCTAGACAAATCTGTTTAGATCTGTACAGTTGTTGAAATTAAAGGACAAGCGTTAAGACACGAAAATTCCATGACGTTTCTACTAGTAGTAAATGTACTCGTTCCATACTATGACACGGGTACGCTTCAGTCAAAGCGCCAGGAATAACTTAGTAATGTATATAAGACATTAAAGACATCACACCGTCACCAAATGTAACCAAAATGAAACAGCATACGTGTAACCTTGCGTTACTATATAAAAGGCTATTTAAGTTTTTGAAACCAGAACTATGTCCGCACAGCACTAATTCAAATCATTTAAAAAGAAAAATACAAAACTTTAAAAGATAGATTTCTTCAAAATGAGCTTGTGCCCTAGGTTCTAAAAGGAAACAAATGGTTATATTGAAACATACAGATATTCTATGACAGTGCAATGCTACTACTTGGTTCTATCTCCACTATTTGAACACATTTGTAACAATAAAATGCTAAAGAAGATGCATAGAGGTTAACGTCAGAAATTTACATAATTTTGGCTAATCGAAATTGATGCTTGTACGTACAGAAATTCTCTTATTTTGAAGCGCTCTATCATCACCTAAACTCACTTAATTTTATTTAATTCTATTTGATGTTATGTTGTAATGTGTGATGACGTAGAACTATTAATAGTTATATTATAAAATAAGATCAGTATTGAGATTTATGTTTTTGTGTATAACAAAGCATTTCATAATTTCATTTGCGTATGTCGAGTAGTTCGATAAAATTTCCAGAATGCTTAGAACAAAAGGTCATAAAGGTCCTTAATCGCTCACCATGGGAATGATCTAGATGAACAAGATTAAGTTACCAGGACATTCTACGTTCCATGTTTTAAAGAACACATTAAAGGTAGCCGGGGCTATGATTTAAACAAACATGCATGCCCAATATCTAAGATATCGGCTTGTCTCTATTTTATGGTTTCAGAGAAGATGGTTTCACTACACTATATACATGTTAGGAAATCCCCAAGGACAGGGTCAATTTGACCCAATGGCTATTATTCAAAATCTGACAGAGGCCTACTAGATTATGTTTCATGCTTAATATCTGAGCTTCAATCTTTATACAATAAACATGTACATAATACTAGTATATAAAGAAAACCCATGACCTACAGGACAGCGCTATTTTTAACCCAAAAGCTATTATTTGAACAAGCATGACAAAGGCCCGCTAGATGATTTTTCAAATCAAATATCTAAGCTCTTATGGCTAACGATGGATTTATTTTTAAAGAATTTAATAAACACTCGTACATATAAGAAAAACACATCAAGACCCCCTTGGGCTAGGCCTATTATTGAGAAACCAGAGTTCTGCATGGAGTGAATTTTTAACAACTTCAAAATAAGAACACATAAGGACCATTCCTAGAACTTTTTGATATTATTAACCTTGTGTTTAGAAGAAGTTGTTCCCCCAAAAAGGTGTGGACGGACGGACGCTGGACGACGGACGGTGAGAAATGACAATAGCTCATCTTATGTATGTTATGCCCTGTTAATGAAAAGAAAGTATTGACGTATTTTTCTCTCAACACTTTTGGTCAGTTATAGTAGCTATCGCTTTGCAATAAAACAGTAATTTTCCCCTTAATTTGCTATCCTTGTTATCTATAGCATGTGTTCTTATTGACATCTATTCCAATAAACATAAACAATTCTTCAATAAGGAGTAACATCCTTGTTCGTGATCAAAACAATTGAACTGAAAGCTAACGTTAAATGTGAGAAAAGCAAATTGTTTTTACTAAAATCATTGACTCGCATCACGGCTTATAAAATACTTTTTATGAAAATCTATTTCCGTAACAAGATATTTAGATTATAAGGCGTTATATTGCAAAATAAGGCGTAGTTACGCTTAACAATTTTTTTAAATGAAATATATACTGTAACCGTAAATGAATGAAAACGAAATAACAATTTGCTAACATAACGTATACGTACAGAATAACGCAAAATTCCTTTTTTCTTCTTACTTGGTTGGGATTCACGTTGCAACTTCACCGTTTAGATCATAAGGCACAGCTTTACTGGTGGTTGAAGACCTCAGACCCCCTCCCAACCCCCTCCGTGCAACAGTCAACAGTGGGCAATTGAGTAGACCGCAAACGTTGGATATCTTCCTAACATAAAAGTATCCTGAGTCGAACCAACAGTGTTGAGGGACAAGTTGGTCGATTTTTATTTGGAATATATAGATGTGAAGTAGCGTTTTCATATCGCTTTTGTATTTTTGATATACAATTTAATGCACTATTTCCTTATTAATTTATCATATCGGTACTCGGAAGTGCTGTTTGAGAGGATACATTCCGTTCGTTAAAATCGTTTACATGATCTTATAAATCTAATAAACTGTTTTTGAATCGGCGCCTTCTGGATGCCCTACTGGTGTGACTGTGTTGTGTCGGAGCTCCGTTTTGTGAACTAGTGCTAGGGGTGTTTTTATTTCTGATAATTTATTTTTACATTTATCCTAAGCTTTTATTTCCTTTACGAACTATATGCACTTTAATAATGTCAATGGCAACGCAACATCTAAAATGAAGGACATGTTTCGATATATATCTCTTGCAAAATCATGTACACAAATTAAAATATGTAAGCCGTAGAGTCCAAGAAACTTTTTTATCCACTGATATCAATCTGAAACATACAAACTATCTAAAACAAAAACAGTTCAATGGAAAAAATAATTACCACAGCTATGCAATGACATGGCAGTATTGTACAAAATTCTATATAATTATGTTGCCATTCTTGCACATGAAAAACTTTTACAGTCTAACCTTGATGCTAACAAAAAATGAAGAAACGTACTGCACTTAAGTCCAATAATAGCATACAATTACGAGCAGATCTTTTTTAACCATATTTTACAAAATTTCAATTAAATATCTTTAATAAATAAATTACTGTTCTCAAAACTCTAGACCTCTTGGCCTTATATCAAATTTGGTGCTATTATGGAATTCAAAACACGTCTTAAAACGGCAAATTCAAAATGTTGCAGGCTCGGTTTGGTTGAAGGTACTGGAAAATGCAAGCAACCGTCGCCTACCACCGGCTTATGCAGACGTCTATATTTAATGGTAAAATTGTGAGTTTGAAAACAGTTGCACGTGTGTTCATACGTTTTATTATAGACAATTACAATGTCAAGAACAATTTACGATATATTTATGATAGATGCAAGATGATCATATTTTAAATATTCATTTATGATATATCAAAAGATGAGGCACAATTTTAAACTCAAAAAAGCCTTGAGGTAATTAGACAGCTACTTGGCAAACTGTTGAATTTTTCCGATGACATTTTCCGTTATATGGGTACCCACTTCTGTATGGATTATTAGAAGTACATAGATGCTATATTTTTTATCCTTGAAGACCCTTCAGCACGACTCTTACCCAGATTTTTTATTTTGGTATTTGTGGTATTTTTATTTTGTACTTTTTTGTTCTAACCCAGTTGGATGGTTCAAGTATTACTACTTGAAAACTATATACAAATGTACTTGTATTCAATTGATTAATCTCTCTTCGGAGATGTTGCTTGCTTTTATAGTTTTTCTTTTTACTTCTTATCTGAGATATGCAGGCTAAATCTTGCTTTGCCCTTGTGTCCTTCGTGTTCTTG